GATAGTGAAAGAATACCTTAATGATGAGCTAGTCTCATGACAATGTTGAGTACAAGCGATCGCAGCCAATGTAAAATGTTAACAGAAGAATCGTTAACATTACCTTATTGTTGAATAACTGAATGTAAACTACGACATTCCGTCTTTACTAATTCCGCTGTGGAATCGATTCTCCAGCTAATCTATTTTATGCCTTTGCAAAGTGTAATTCTAGATCCTCTAGAAAGACTTTGGATGAGAAGCTTGAAAACGAACGATATCTTCTTTGAAAGTTGTGTTCAAAGAGAATTATAATTACTGCAGGTATTTATCTCGGGCAACTAGCTTATAAATATTGACGAGGGGAGGTAAAAAACACGACAATGAAGGATAAAGAGAGATGCGAGAGTTAATGCAGCCACGATATATTTTTGAGATTGCAGTATAATTTTAGAAAATTGTAAGATTTATAATGGCATAGCAAGTAAGAATACGTAGATTACAGGTAGATGGGTACAAGTATTTTCCAAAGCTATTTTAATATCATTTACCGACTGATGTAAATTTCTCAATAGGATTTGCAGTGTTAAGGGTAATAGTAATCGAAGCAAAATACTCTGAAAGATCAGCCAAGAATTTACCATGTACAGACACTGAATAATATTTAAAGAAAGGTACATCTTAAATTCCGAAATTCTGAACGCTTGGTTGTAAATTCAATGCAGCTTATTATGGTATTTGTGTACCCATCTGTCTTCAATGTAAAGTGATAGGGCTTGCAGATTCCTAAGATTCCTATTAACGGAAATTGTAATGAAAGAGGAATGCAGTATTTTAATTTTGTATAGATGCATTAATAATTTGTAAGGTATCATTTCTTTGATGAGTCAAAGATAAGTATGGATTTATTTAATGTTGTCTTTAATTTAAACGTGCTTTATTTAAAAGCATACGGCAAAAAAAATGATATTTTCATATATTCATGTATTTTTGATCATTTTTACGTGAATCATTGGTATGTATATAACATATTTCTACACTCTTGCTAGGCATAATTACTGTACACTTATTTAGCCATTTGATAGTTTCCCCTTTATACCGATATTAATGCTGTGTAATTATCATATACTTTAATCTATTATAATATCTACAGAAGTAACATGAAATATTTACTTTGAACAGAAGCAAATGTCCAGATGAGTTTATAATGATATGTATTAAGATAAGCCTAATCACAATATTGTGATATTCAATGAAACTTTACGTAGATGTAATATGATTGTGGCGTATTCTGTTGAATAATTTGTTAATTGTAATAGGAGGTATCAATTTGTTGTGAGATGGGGACATGGAAGTTTTAAAATGTTATGTGTTTAAACGAAACGAGGGGAAAATAGATAGAAAATGCGAAATAGTACGATGTTTGATATTGCGAGCCATATTTTCTCATCGCGAATAAAGTTATATATATATATAATGGACATGAAAAGAATGACACATCTTTGGGATAAAATTACGAATGAAACGGTCGGAGATATATATAACAGTCTACATTCGAATGCAAAATACTACTGCTTATTCTTTAGTTGCTTCTTGATACTTCTGTACACCTTTGAGAAGATATTAATAAAAACTGCAATGGAAATAACGAAATTTAGCAATGCCAAAAACTGTCCTTAGCTTCTTGACTATCTGCACTGAACAAATATGTTATCTGTGAATAATCTACTATACCTGTACATTATCATGTAAATATAAATGCTATATATATATAGATAGATGATATATATACATACATATATATGTATATACACATGTATATGTAAAAATGTACTCGACCTTTAATAATTTATGATTGCATGCAGAACATAATCTTTTTTTATGTTACACAATGCACGTTATATTGTTATTTTTTCTTAAATAAAATCTGATCAAATCCCCCCATATATATACATATATATTTTTTTCCAAGAATTGAAAACCAGTATTTTAATCAGAACAAGTTAAAAAATCAATCATTGTCCTTGCTGAGATTGTTTTATCTTCAAATTTAAACACAGAATGTTATATATACGATGGAATAAAGTAGATTAATAACTTAACATTGCTACTGTTACACTTTTATAAAATTGCTAAAAAATACGCATGAGAAGCTGACTTACCAAGAACACCGTACTGTTGGGGAGTAAGTCTTACATCACCATCTGGACCTCCAGGGACAGAAGATATGAGCGATGCTCGATCGCTTATGTGACTCCTACTGCTTGCCTCGCTCCTTCTTGCCCAAGAAACTTGGGACACCGCATCTATCGAAATAAGAATAACAATTTCTATTCCAGATGGAAAACTGATTCTAGTAGATATAATTTAACAATGTAGTAGATTTAAACTAACTACACGGAACTGTATGCGTTATGCTGATAAATTACCAAAGTTGGAGTTCTTTGCATTTGCAAATCTTTGCTTTAAATCTCTGAAAGGTCTCCTCGAAGGGGGAAGAGGATGTCTTCTTCGTCTTTTTAAGAACTGTGCCAAGCCTCCCAGAAGCAATGACCCTCCAGTTAAACAGATAATAAAAATCTGCAAAATACAAGACATTAATAACATTACAGATCGAAGTTAACATTCTAAGAAACTTCTGAAACGATTGACAATGGAACGTAATCGAGCGGATACATGATATCATTGTATTAAAATTATATAATACTGAAATTATCGAATGTAAATATATTTATTCTAACCTCAAATAAGGATACTTGCTTTTTGTGTTCTAGATAAATTTATCGATGGCAATGAAATTATGTAACGTTTATACAATGCACCTAGAAACTGCCGCGCGTTAAAAACAGACATTGTAAATATCCTATTTATAAAGTGTAGAAATTAAGTTTTAACAATTGTCTTCTCGAAAGAGTAACATTAATTTTGAAAAGAACACTGCAATAGGATTCGTTTGTGCGGCAAATATTCAAAGTAGAACCTATTGCTATGTTCATATAAGATCTGTGGCGCCCGGTTCATATAATTCTCTGGCGCTTCTCAATATGTACACGAGCGCCCTCCACGCGCATGGAAACAATTAATTATCCCCAGAGGCATATTTTAGAACCCCCTCGAGAAACCCCTCGAACTCCCACGAGGGACCCCTCGACCCCCATAAAGAACCCCATCATCCCCTTTGAGAAACACCATCAAGAGGGATTCCTCATGGGGGTTCGAGGGGTTTATGACCAATAACAAAGACGTGTCGAAATTGGGCCACCATAACAATCAGGACATTATCCCAGTATATATAACAATCGGGAAAAGAGACAAACTGTGGACATCTTTTAGTATGAAACTAGTCTTTATTCTTAAAACAATAATTATCGGATCTTTTTCTTCATATACAGTTTATATAACAGATAATATAAAAATAAATAATTTACTCCCAGTCATCCCAATCACAGAAATTAAAATCTTCTGCGCTGAGTTCAAGTAAGTCTTTCTTCTCCTCTTCTGCTGCAATATCTTCTTTCGAAGAATTGCTTGAGCTATTATTATTTTCAGTCTTCTGTGTAGTTTCTTCATCAGTCGTACACTGAGATTTAACGTTATCTCTAAAGTAATCCAGGGTTTTCTGTTTGGAATCCAATGAATGTTTCGTAATACTGATGTCAGTAAGTGAAAAATTATGATCAAGACCAACTTCGTTTAAGACATTCATTTTTTTCTGGATTAAAGGCCATAAGTAATCGTCTGCCGTTTGTTTAGCGACTAAATACTGGATCAGAACATCATCATTTTGACCGATTCTATGTACTCTGTCTTCCGCCTGACATATGATCTGTGTATAGAAATATATTTTATTAGTTGAACTGATTCAACTTTATCAGAATATTTTAATATTATAATTTATGAATAACAACTATAAATACCCCAGGATTCCAAAACAGTTCAGCAAATACCACGAGTTGAGCAGCCGTTAATGTAATTCCAGCGTTTGCTGCTGTAATTGATAATACTGCAGCCAAATAATTGTCACAACTCTGAAACTTGTCAACCTGATATTTTCTTCGCTCGGGATTCGTCTTTCCGTCTATCCTGATATATCTGAAATCCGTAATTGATTAAGTGCAAATAACAGAAATTGTATTTAAATACGCTACAAGTCCAAAAATTGCAATTACTTTATATCCATAGATTCTGCGACTTCACAAACGGCATCTAAAATATTTTGGTGGTGGGCAAAAATGAGACATTTCTGTTTATTTTTGAATAACTTAGCAACGTAATCACTGAAACGTTAGATGTCTTGTAAAAATTATGCTTGACCATAGTAAAGAAAGAAAACTAGAAATGTACCATATAGCTTTCTGCTTGGCAATACTGGATTCATTGTAATACTGTAAAAGAGCGGCATGTCTTTCTATGCCATTTAAAGTTGTACGTTCTAACGCTTTGGACATCTCTTCCATTTCTTTTGTACCAGCTTTTATTAAGTCCGGATCCAGTACAATGACTTCCCTAGAATTCATTTTTTAACACAACAAATACACATGGAAATAAGTATAAGCATATTTGCAGTTCTGACCTTTTCTTTGATGGTAACACTTTCATCACTTCATTTTTCAATCTTCGAATTATACAAGTGTGTTTTAAAAATAATTGTAACTCTTGCATGTTCGACGACCCTTTGAAATCCCATCCATAAGCAGTTTTCTCTCCAGCGCAATAACGGTTTCCATATTCTTGATATCTACAGAAAAATGATAATTAAACCTTACTTACGTCGAAAACACATATTGCATTTGTTTAACTAATAATTTCATATTACCCCATGAAATTTGGCATTATGAGATTTAGTTGAGAATACAGTTCTATTGGTCTTGACAATGCTGGTGTTCCAGAAAGTAGAACAACATGACCTACTTTGGAAGTTATACGTTGTGCAGCCTTATATCTAGCAGTTTTAGCACTTTTTAAAGTATGAGATTCATCCTATAAACGAAGTTAATCATTGTAGTAAAATACGCTTTTTACAAGTACTAAAAATTTGTTGAAATTTGAAGATGAACAAAACTTCTTTCATCATATGTACCAGAATAACAAATCCAAAGGTATGTCGTTCAAATCTCTCTAAAGCCCTTACTAAGAGATCATAAGATGTAATCACTATCTTCTTATCACCAACGAAATCATGTGTATTTATAAAATTATGAACATAGTGTGTAGGCACAGATGGCAAAAATGTAGATATTGCTTCTGCCCATTGATACCTAAATTTAAAAGTTCAAATATATTACTTATACATACTCACAAAAAAATATATAATTTATCAAGTAAATTATCAAGTAATGTATTTTTGTACCACACCTGACTGAGGACGGTGTAACAATAAGA